CTGCGATCGTTGGCCGACGGTGGGTATGACGCATCTCAAGGATGTGACGCAACGTAAACACCTGATCAATACATCCACGGCCAGGCCGGAATCCGGCTTGCTGTTCACGGATGTTGGTCTCTCTTAAAGGCGTCAGACGACGAAGTATAACCGAAGCTAGCACTTTAGCGATTATCGGGATCAAACTGATCCCGCAGTGGTTTTCGCAATCGTTGCGGAATCCTTTCTTGAAAATGAGAACGATCACTGAATGATCACTGATGAAGGAATGTGCTCTTGCATCCAAATGTTGCGCAGTAGGGTGGTAATAGAGATTACGAGGTTATCACCTCTCATCTTGCAAAGAGTGGGAGGGAACTCATCAGGTACTGCTGTTTTGCCTCGTTTCAGAGCTTGAATGCAAGACCAAACTTCTGCTTCCGTTGGAGGATCACATGACACTGCACACGGAGCTTCAGTCGGAGATGAAGCAGCCTGGTTAGCACTAAGCCAGCTGAACTGTTCGCTAAAGTATTCTGCCCAGCGATCGAGTCGTTGATTCCTTATTGTGAATAGCTCGTCCCCTCTTATCGTAGACTGTTTCACTAACTGGGGTTCGCCGACCTCCCGTATTGCGTATCAGTCGGAACAGTCTTTGACTATTCCCTGATGCAGCTGCTACTTNACCAGTTCTCACGGTCCTTTTTGAGGCTCTTCGTGAGCCGTTGTAGCTGCCACCTAACTCTATTTCGAACCTGGCAGGTCGGGACTTGCCGTTTTTGCTCTATTAGGGCTACTGACTCCTGAGATACCCAATGCCTCCGAAGGGTTTGAGGCTCAGACCCACAAGCAACATTCGCTGCGGAATGCATTGCTCGCCTAATCCGATCACACTGTTCGTCTACATCACCACGCTGAGGCGCACTTAGCTTACGCACTAGCTCTGACACAGAGTGCATGAACTGCTGGAACAGATAGTCGTTGATGAGCTATCCGAGCTTGATAGTTTGNCGCCGACCAGTCAGTTGGAGAGTGAACTGCATCAAAACTAATGCGCGTTCAGACTCAACGAAGGTGGTCCAATAGGACCTGCAATTTCGCACTGAGCCACGCCAACCGTGGCTTATTGCTATATGGTAAATTTGAGTTAGCGTACCAGTTGAACTGGAGCGCCACATTGCCGTCTGTTGAGAGCTGTGTCGGAAGTTGGTGTTGGATAGGAACAGATGCTAGTCTGCACAGAACTGAAGAAGTCGATCGCCGTTATCTGTTCGTTGGTAGGGCAGAGCACAACTACCGCCTAGGCAAGCTTCTGATGAGCTCAGTTTTCCAACCTGCGCGTTGAAGTCACCGGCACGTACAACTATGTCGGAGCATCGACTCATCCGAATGAGATCGGTGAGTTCATCATAGAAAGCGTCCTTTTGAGTATCAGAACTGCATTTGGTCGGTGCGTATGCCAATACGATGAACAAACACGTTTTGGTGTTGCTTCCCTTCCGGACGCTGATTGAACCCTGGAGACGAACTGCACATAAACGACTGTTGACGGGGATCCAATCGATTAGAGGACTCCGCCCTATTACCCAGTACAATACCTCCCCGCGCTGACCTACTGAACGAGCTTCATTGTCGCCTTATGTGCGAACATATCTCGTCCACAAATCTGGCGCACTCAAGTGGCTTATGGTAGTAGCATCCTTGATTCGAGTTTTGGACACAGCAAATATCGATTCCTAAGGATTCCATTGTACGAGCCAGACAAGCTTGTTGACCTAGCTGTATCAAAGTTCTCACGTCGAAGGTCCCCAGATTAATTATTTGCCGAGGCTTTAGCATGTGCAATTCGTTTCGAGATACATTACTTACAATGATATTTGCAAACAACCTTTGGCGAGCAGCATCCAAGTTGCTTGAGGGACTATTACAAGTCAGAAGAAGGGGAAAGGGATGATTGCTGAAGACAAAGAATTAAACAAAGGTTGGGATATCTGAGCCGTAGCCCACTTATCACTACCCACCCCGCTCGATGCAATTGGCAGCGCGGTCCTGATTATCCTGCCCGACGACCGATGCAGTATGGAATTATTTTTTGATTTTGTATGCACTTGATTTTGATGGACGGGTACTGCTAGGGTATACAGCCACTAAGCAGGAAAACGATTAGGGTTCTCGTCCAAAGTCTTTAGTTCTGACAAGAACCCAACCGCAAGGCAGCCAGTGAAGCGAAGTACAGGCCCATTTACTTGGATCAATTACTCCCTTACTATTTTACCGACTGAGACACTAACTCGAGTCGAACCCCAACCTGGAAGACCAGGAGACTGGACTTCGTTTGACCTCTACCCTTCGATCTTCCAAGCATGATTAGATCTTTGGCTCGATAAAAGCCATCCTGTGTAGCTCATTGGATCAGGTGCACAAGCCATTACACCACATCAAGGTGCAGCCTCATCGTAATGCACAACACGTACTGTGCATACCAAGCTGTCGCCTGCCGCACCGCGCACAGATGGATTAAGTGGGGTGGGTATCACTCACTCTCCAGATTGGTGTTCAAATCACTGGTTGGACGGAGCCACTGAAGGATGTGGCAGCGAAATGACAGCAGCGGTGTTTTCGTTGTCACTTATCAGACTAATAATTTTGAAAAGCGATGTATGCATAGTTAGATTTTGTCCAATATGTTCAGCATGGAGGCTCACTTTCTTTCCCCCTCTCTCGAAATAGGCCCAATTCCTATCCATCTTACATATCCCCACTAAATTCGCATGCAGTTCGAGTTTGGCAGCGATCAGTGAAATTCGTTTCTCTGTATTTCACAGTGCGATGATGATTTAACTTGGGCTTGCACAATCTGGAGGCACTCCATCCACGAGCAAGTCATGGATCAAGTTCTTATAAAGATTGTCACATCATGACTTTTTTTACACAGTCTAAACTCAGAACCGCGTTAGGTACAATATGATAATAGTGTGCTTGTGTTCTGTTTGAAACCGTATCGAGGTGGGTCGACATGTTTAGTGTTGATCTTGAGGAAAACAGATTGAAATTACTCTTTTTTCGTTCCAGCCTTCTGTACTAAAAATTTCCTCAACATTTTGGAAGGTTTCCCAGACTCAAGCCTTCGGTTGTATGCTCAAGTATAACTGGTGTATGCGCCAATTTTGGTTTGTGCAAATTGCGTGCAACTGCCGGTATCAAAAGTAGCTCGCCCTGGAGAAACCACAATTAGTTGATAATAGTGAACTTAGAAATGAAGGTGAACAATCGAAGTAGTTCAAGGGTGGAAATTTAGTGTTGTAATATGCCAGGATTACTTACACTTTACCCTCTTCCGCATCCACATCTTCCACCTGGTAAGTTCGTTTGTCCTGATCGTATTGGACGACCTCAGCAAGTATACATCCTTCTGAAAGATTACATGCCGCGGTGGCCGCAACATCAGGTTCGGGAACTAATGCAGCCACCAGGTCACCAGGTTGTACAAATGTTCCTGGTGAAGCAGGTATTGCACCACATAGCGGAGGAGCCCTGAAAGCAAACCGATAGAGTCGACAATGTGTTTGAAAACCTACTTTTCTCCTGGTTTCCCAGCCCAAAGAGGAATAGTTTTGGCACTTTCTTGCAGCACAGACATCAGAACACCTCGTCGAAAACTTCGTGGTCCAAGTGAAACGCCTTACAATGAAAACATTGTATGCCAGAATGAAATCAACGTACGAATCTCATGTTCCAGTTGACGAATATGAGCAATTTTATCTAAAGCACTTTGGAGAGCACTAAACTCAATGAAATCAATAGAGATGAAAATTTACGCTTTTTGTCGTTCAGCTTCATCAATCGCCTGATTGTAGGTATTTTTCAGATGGCTCTTGTTGACTTTATATCTCAGTCAGCAAATAAGAGAAGTATCCAAACCTTTGCCATTTTTTTGCTTCCGCCGCAAATTATCCAGAGATGTCAGAGTATTTCTTCCATTATCAATCTCAGCCTTCTATGTCAGAATGATGCAAAACGACAGGACCTACCACCGCCGTTTCGCAAAGAGCGAGAAGCTCTTTGGTCTGTTCGGTGAGCTGCAATTGACTGGCATTCATCATGGATACTTTTTGCACGTAAAGCAGATGAAGTCATGCATGCACACAGAAAAGGATGGCGCAAAATGAGTTTAATTGGATTTGAAAAATCGATAAAAATATCACATTCGAGAAAACGTGTAGATATATGCTCGATTTACTTTGTATACCACCCACAAAATTCATCGTTAAATGCCAGAAACTCTATGCCAATAAAAATACTTGAATAAAACCGATCAACTACACTCAATGGGAACTAATGAGGATTTAATCATCCACAAACTGGTTTGCTTTTAGCGTATACTGATCTAAAAAGCAATATGGTATCTTCCAATTTTCCCAAATAGGAGTGAGATTATATCACTAACGTGGATCTTGTAGTGTGCCCGATGGTACGGTGAAAACCGGACCGTATCAGACTTTTGCCGGACATCATTTTTCCTCTACCAGCTAAATGTACGTTCATATTTTCATTTCAGTACCAACGCCATGTGACGTTTGTTTTAGACGATCGAAAACCGCTGCATCCTTCCGCGAGAGAACTTTCACTTTTCGCTTTCGATCCGTTTTGCTCGTTATCGCGCTTGTTGGTTCTCGTGCCTTCGTGCTTTAACGCAAACTCTTGTCAGCCGGTACCGGTACGTTCTGTGTGCCAAGGTACCTCAAAAAACATCCACAACAATCACAAGTCTTCTGGTTTCACCGGCGGTAACTTGGTTGTTTTGCGAGCTAAGGGTTCCACTCTGAAGTGTGTCACGGTAGGTCGTAGTCGACGTTTCCTCAATCTCTCCAAGAGCATTGCTCACTGTGTACCACCGCCAATGCCGAATTCGATCCCACAGGGACGATTTGCTGACGGTGAATAGAATTGTGGTTCATCATTGATCCCGACCAAGCATGAATGAACATATTGTTTTCAAGGTAGTGAGTAAAATACTGAATGCGGAAAACTGATCATGACTGATCATGATCAACTTTGGCTCTGGAGTGTTAATAAAGCTCAGTGGTGATGATGTGCATAACATAGTACTCCAATGTTTTCTATTCCTAGGTATTCAGTGGGTCATGTCCAGGTTTTTGAGGTTTGCCGTAGCGATAACAACTCCGGTTCAGGAACCTGACATGTACCTACGGAAGAGTTCATTCGCTTTGTTTCACACCAGTCAGCCAACAATAGTCCAAGGCTCCACAAAGTGACTTGTATGAAGCAACTGTTATATATTCAGAGTACTGATTAACAAGTAAAATAAACCCCAAGAGGCTAGACAGGCTCCTCAGGATAATGTGAGCTACACCTACGCATGAGAAACAGCTATGTCATATTGGCTGAGCTGGATCATATTTGATTCAAAAGCGGTATCCTCTTGTAAAAACCACAGAGGAATTAGTTTAATTAACATTGCCTTTAAACTTCTCGCCGGGATCACACTCCGTCGATTGTCTGCCGCTCGTGAAGAGTGCACACGTGAGAACCAGGCTAGTTTTAGACATGGTCGAGGTTGTACTGACCACATCTNTACTCTTCGTCTAATTCTAGAACAGAAACTCCTTTCGCAGAGCCACCATTTCTATCGTCCTCGATCTGGAAGTGGCTTTCGATCCAGTCGACTGCTTCAAACTCTGGCGCTGCCTCTCCATGAAGGGTGTGCCCGAGTTCATTTTAATATTGCAATCTCTTTATACTAATAGTTGAACACTAGTACGAGCTTACGGCACTTTGTCACCCGAGTTCACTACAGAAAGAAGTATTCGATAGGGTTGCTCTCTCTCCTTTTCTATTCAACTTTGTCACAGACTTAATTCTTGAGACAACCCTATCCTCGTGCGAGGATAGCGGTATATATTTGCTCCCGGGTGGCGGACTGCCTGATCTAGAATATGCAGACGACACTTTTTTATTACACACGAAATGATTTACACCAGAAGGGGTAAACCCCAGTGGCGCAGTGGTTTAGTCGCTGTCACCGGCGTGCTTTGGACCCTATGGTCCGATGTTCGAGCCCCGCCACCGCCACTCGACTTTGGTGGTAGGCAGCTCTGCTGTCGTCCGGTTCAATACCACGCCTAACCTATCGGGGCCTTATGTGGTTCGCCACTCCAAGTTCCGGGGCTTAGTTAACCGATTTCAACCACTGAACAGCAGGTCTTCGTGACTATGGGGTTTACTCCGTCTGCTGTTCATCACACGAAAGTGCGTAATAGAATAGAAAATAGAATCAACGATATACTGTATGGAGGAAGGTATGTGAGAAGACATTCAAGTGAGAATCTATTTGTTAATCCTGCTTCTGAAAAGGGTGGGGTTATAAGGGCTTAGAAATACGGAAATAGAAAGGGTGTTCCACAATTTCGCAGTCCTCGGGACGAAAGAAGATTGGAAGACAGAAGTCCGGCATCTAGGGACAGAAACAGGATAAGCGTGACTGCTCGCCTGAGAACGAAAGGGACGAGATAAGGTCAATGGAAGGAGAACTGCTGAAGCAAGTTCGGAAGAGGAGAAACCAAAGTAGTAATGATAGAAAAAAGACAACGAAACAACTGCCCGGCGGTGGGAAAGCGACTGCAGTTTGGAAGTTAAAGATGGTTCGTCGATCAACCGGATAGCCTTGCGTTGAACACGGTTGAGGAGAGAAAGAGCGGAAAACGAAGCTCCACCCCATACGTGACTACAGTATTCGAGCATCGGGGCGGATTTGAGCTTTGTATAAAAGGAGGTGCTTGGGTGTAACTAAACGCTTTGTGCGGAATAGAAAACCAACATTGAGCGCAGCGCCACAGGCAAGTGTAGGAATAAAACGGGACCAACAGAGAGAGGAATTTCTAGATAAACCCAGGAGGAAGAGAGAATTTTTGGAACGAAGTGGCAGAGAATCAAAAATCAATTGAGGAGAGTAAGGGATATGTTTGAGGGAGTAGGCGAAGAGAGAAGTTTCAGAAGCATTGAAACACACATCGTTAGTAGAACTCCAAGCGGAGATGAATGCTAGACTGGAGGCAAGAGAAGCACTAAGGACATTACGATCGTGATCGATATTGGTAATGGTTTGATGAGTGATAGTTTAAGAAAGAAGAATAGAGGGTCGCATCATCGGCTAAGCAGTGGAGGGATTAGCGGTTTGGGAAAAAANTGGATAAAATAATGAGGGTTTTCGAAAACATGGAACCTTGGGGAACACCGGCGTTCACAAGAATTGGCTGAGATAACACCCATCATTAATCGTACACCTTTGTGCAACGGTTTTGGTTACTATCTTTTGACTGCCCATTTGGACGATAATAAGAGAAAGGTAGGAAGGTAGAAAGGAGAATCGAACAGAAAGTAGAGAATTTCAGTGGTCTAAGGTTGCAAAGAAATTGAGAAGATGCGCGAATTCCACTGTTTACGACACTCAGTCATATCACTCAGTGTCTCTAATCATCGGTTACGATCATCCCGAGGTCCCCATCCAGGGAGCCCAACCGGACCTATATGATCCAGTCTCCTTGGAAGGGATTTCATACCGTCGCGCCAGGTCTTCGTTTGATCACCCTTGTTCTTTCTCTATATCTGCCTCGGCAAACATCGCTTGCCGTGGCAATCTGTTCGGTGACGTGCGCAACACATGCCTCAACCAACGTAATCCATGGAGTCGACCACTTGCTCCAGTGGGCGACCGCGGTCGCCTAACACTCTGCGCCTAACCTCAGCATTGATCGTCCGGCTGCCGTACCCGAACTATACAATGCTGCGTGGACAGCAATGTTCAAAAACCGACAGTCTATCTTTCCCCTGTTTTCTCAGTGGCCAAGTTTCTGCTCCGTTCAGCCGAACTGAGGGAACTGCCGCGGCATACACTCGACCCTTCAAACAGTTGGACTTCGCGACGGCGCCACGTCTCAAGTTGGCAAATGCCAACCGAGCCTTTTGTATGCGAGCTGACACTTCATCCATGATACGTCCACTGGGTGAGATGTAGCTGCCCAAATAACAAAACTCATCCACGTGCTCTGTTACTTCCCCAGTTAGTGCTGGACCAACCCAATCTTGAAGTAACATTTTACACTTTAGAGGTGCAAAACGCATACCGAACATAGCTACGCTGGCACTCAAGCTATCCGGAGAAGCTTGTAAATTACCTGGATGTTCACCTAGTAGCACAATTTCGTCTGCGTGCTTCAGATCAGACAGTCTTCCACCTAGAAATAAATCGATGCCACTTTCCTCGCACGAGGATAGGGCTCTTTCCATAACCAAATTAATAATAAAGTTAAATAGTAAAGGAGAGAGAG